TCAAATGATCGAACGCACCCGGATGCAATTTATCGTAGTAGATTATTGGATTTCCCCGAATTCAGAGAAGAACGCAGACGTCAAATTCTCGCAAAATCACGTGCGGAATTGAGAGGTTCTTCAGTTGAAGAAATTAAGTATAATAGTAATAGGAATAGTATTAATAGTAATAGTAATAACAAGAATAGTAATATTATAGATCAGAATAATTTATTGAAACTCCCACAAATTTATTCATCACTAATATCAAAATCATCTAAGGATACATTAAGTTCTAAGACTTCTCAAAAAACAGACAATAATTCAACAAATTCTTATAATACTTCAAAGAAGTTTCAAGATGGATCAAATTCCAATTCTATTCCTCGACTTTCACAACGTACAAATAATTATTCAAAAATTCCGCAAGAAAGGTATAATAATAATTCTTCTCAAGATTCCTATAATTATTCCAAATCATCTCAAACATCATACAATGGTCATTCGAAACCTTCCCAAAATATTTTAGATAATCATAATTATTCAAAACCTCTACAACAACGTAGTCATATAAACCCGAAACAAACATCTCGTTCAGAAATTTTTGGTAAATCTGAAGTATCAATAAATCCTAAAGGTGGATTGAGTGTTTTCATACCTGATGATGATATTGAAACTCTTACTTCATTCTGGTCTATGGAAGGACCTAAACCCAATGCCAAGAATTCAGCTAATACTTTTAGACTATAAATCAAAATTTAGAATATAATATTATATTCCTGGCGAATATAAATTTTTTTTTTCGAACATATGCATATTCAATATTATGTATATACATAGGTTTTGGCTTGGTTATATGGGTGTATTTACTTATTATTTATTCATTATTTATTTATTTATTGATATATGTATCGATTTACATTTTATATACAACGAACGTTCATTTATTTGGTTTTTTTATTTATTTATTTATTTAAATATTAGATACATTCTTTTTACAATAAACCAAATAACTACAAAATGGTATTAAATTTATTAAATTGAAAATTGATTTATTCATTATTATACATTTATAGTAAAATAATCCGTAAATCCACTTAAAAATAGTATAACTCATATGATTGGATGATAAATAAAAAAAAATTTTTTTTTTCTAAATTTTTTTTGCGTTTCAAAAAAAAAATGGATATTGAGATAAAAGAAGAATTGAAGCGTGCAAAAGAAAAATTGGAGCATGCAACAGAAGAATTGGAGACATTTAAGAATAAAAAACAGGACAGATTAGATGAGTTGCTACTGAAGTTGGCTAATGGAGAAGAGAGGAACGATAACCAGAAAAAATATTGGGGAATTATGATAGATGATCTTAGGGAAGAAAAAGCAAGGTTGAAGGATCGAGAGAAATTTTTTATGGACCACGTGGCACATTATCTAAACAAATTATCAGAATTTAATAATAACGGTAATGAACAAATTTGCGTAAAAATATTTATTTCCCTGTTTTTCTCATTTTTTTACTACAATTTATTTTATTTGATTAACAATCTCAGATGTAAATGAGCTTTCCTCGAAAAAGGCACGCGTTGATGAAACAGGTTAAGTTTTCATCAATAAATTGGTGAATCCCAATATATTAATCAGATTCAAATTTTTTTTTTTTAATCGCAATTCATCAAACATTAGATCCATTAATTCAGAATCTGTCGAAATTTTGGAATGCTCTTCCAAGTGCTGACATAGTTGATGATATTCTTT